TGTGGGTTTTGCTTGTCGTCGTCGTCGTTGTCGTCGTCGTCGTCGTCGTGAGGCCGCGCTCTCCGTCGTCACCGCAAGGCTGGGCCTGGTGCTCGGGGACGGGGATGTTCCTCTGGGGGTGCCTAAAGCAGAGGAGAAGGGAGGCGAAGGGGCGGCACGGCGGCGGTTATCCCAGGTACCAGGACTGCCGGGAGAGAGGAGAGAGGCGGCGTTAGTGCTCTGCCCCCGAGCTGCCCCGTCCTCCCGCCGGTCCCCAGAGCCCGAGACAGCTGTCCCCGCGCTGTCCCCGCGCTGTCCCCGCGCTGTTCCCGCGCTGTCCCCTGCTCGGCGCACGGGGCTGGCATCCCCACTCCTGCACTGAGTTTGTCCGTCCTCCGCCACCCGCGTTCCCCTGGGGCCGGTGGCTCTGCACCTTCACGGCAAAGGGAGACCCTCCCCAAGGAATGGTGCCGCCTGGGGACAGGTAGGGGGGTGCACGGCTGGGGACCCCGCGAGGTGGCCCCCTGCCACCCTCCCATTGTTTCCCCCCCAGCCCCAAGTTCAAGTTCATTCCCGATTACCTCATGTCTGGTTTCCGTTGGAAACGAGACAGCTCGGGGCCGCTGCTTCCCTTAACCCTTCCAGGCCCCGCCACACATGACCAGAGCGTGGCAGGTCTCAGCTGGCCCTTCTGGGACACCACCTCCTTCCCCCGTGCCTCAGTTTTCCCAGGCAGAGCATCCTCGAACGTCCCCACGCATGACTAGGAACACCCATTCACAGGGACCTTGGGGGTCCTGGGACTGCAAGTGGCTTTGACCCCTATCTCTGAACAGGGACTCTGGCCCCCTGCTCCTCCAAGGTTCTCCTGGTGCTGCCCCAGGTCTCCTCTTTAGGGACCCAAGGCTCTTGGGGTGCTGCCCACCCCATGTGCAGAAATGGGGAAACTGAAGCAGAGTGGGGGGTGTGATCAGAGCCGGGTCCCCCGTGTTTTTCTTCTGGAACGGCACAGCACCCTCAGGTATCCCAGCTCGTGATTCCCAAATCTCACAGCCTGGCACAGCACAGCACCCCCAGGTACCCTGTGTCACTACTCACAGCCCCAAGTGCCCACACACGGGCACAGCACAGCACCCTGAGTACTCCCCCCAGCCAGGGCAGCACCCCAGGGTGTCCCAACATGGCACCGTCCACACCCCATCCCTCTGTCCTGTCACCCATGTCACCTGCCAGGCAAGGCTGCAGCTGCCCCTGCAGGGAATGCTGAGGCCAGAGCACTCATGTCACAAGTGAGGCCAGAAGCTGCCACTCCTGTCTTGGCACTGTGGCACTGCCTGCAGCATCAGTGCCAGTTCAAGGATCCAGGACTAATGGAAAGCCCCTGGAAGGGCACACACAACCTCCCACTGCAGCTGGAGTGGCCACGGGCACAGCCAAGCGAGAGCAGAGCCCGTGGTCACACACAGAGGGACCCGTGGCCCCGGTGCTGCTCCTTTGGTGATGTTCTGGGCACCTAGGCAGGGTGGTGCCAGGTGGTGCCAGGCAGGACGCAGCCAGAGCAGGGCAGTGATCTCCCTCTATGATGGAGGACTCGTGATGGCCCTGAGCCACCAGCAGTGCCTAAAGGCCTGGCACTGGGTGCCCATAGTGAGGATGCCACAGCAGCAATGCCCATGGGCCGCAGCAGTGATGCCAAGGCAGTGATGCTCACAGCAGCAAAGCTGGCAGTGGCAGTGCCAGAGCTGCAATGCCATGGTGGTGATGCCATGGATTGCACATGGAACTAACCCCACAGTGGTGACGTACACAGCAGTGGTGCCCAAAGTGGCATTGCCCACAGCAGCAACACCCATGGCAGTAGTGCCATGGCGCGGATGTCCACAACATCTGCAGTGGCCAGGCCAGTGGTGGCAATGCCCACAGTGGTGATGCCACTGCTGTGGTGATACTCCTCGTGGCCTCAGACATGGTGGCAAGGCCACAGCACCAATGGCCACAGAGGTTACATCCACAGCAGCAATGTCCCACGGCAGCGATGCCACAGTGGCGATACCCATGATAGTGCCCACAGCAGCAATGCCCAGAGGAGCAATAAACATGGCAGCAATGTCATGGCGGTGATGCCATGGTGGCAATGCCCACGGCAGTGATGCCATGGTGGCAATGCCCTCAGCAGTGATGCCACGGCAGTGATGCCACAGCAGCGATGCCACAGCAGTGGCACCATGGCGGGGAGCCCACACCAGCAATGTCATGTCAGTGACAGCCACAATGGCAATGCCAGCACATGCCCACGGCAATGCCCACGGTGATGCCATGGCGAGGGTGCCCGGGGCAAGGGCAGGAGGGTCCCCCCAGCAGCATCCCCGCTCTCACCTGTGCCTGATAGATACTCCCAGGATCCCTTGGTCCTAATCCCACGAAGGAACGGTTCGCAGGGGGCGTGCCTGGTGCAGAGTAGGCTGGGGAACAAATGAGAGCTCATTAACGGGGCTGTGGGTGACACTGCCATTGTCCCCCCAGGGGCCAGGCCCGGCCCTCTCCCTGGCACTGCTGGGATGGAGCTCCCTGGCACCCGGTGCTGGCGACCAGGCAACGTCCCTGGCTGTGACCTGCTGGCAGGCGAATGGAGCCCAGGGGTGCTGCAGCCAGGGCTGCTGTGCTCGGACGGTACCACCCGTGCTTTCGGGGCGATCGCTGACACTGGAGGGGCGAGGTGCCCCGGGGTGCAGGCGCAGATGGTGCCCCTGGCTGTGCCCGCGCTGTGGCTTCTGGAGCTGAGCTGCCACGGGGAGAACAATGGCAGCCACCACATCCACTTGGCCACGTCTCCCTGCTGCCACCTCCATCCCTCAGCTGGGGATCCAGCAGTGGGACCTTCAGTCCTGCTGAGCTTCTGGGTTCAGCCCTGGGTTCAGCTGGAAGCAGAGTGCTGCCAAGGGGAATGGGGGTTTGAAGCCAGCTGCACCCCTTGGGGACAGCCTGTGTCCTCCTTCCCTGAGCCTGCAGGAACTTGCACTCCTCTGTACCTCCCTAAGGCTGTGACCCCATTATCAGCCAGGCCATCCCATGCTGTCCCCTCCAGATTGTCCAGGCTTTGGCTTCTCCATGCCATGGGATCTCCACACCTGCTGACCAGCTGCTAGCAATCAGCCATGGCCCATTACCCAGGGACAATGGCTCAATAAGGCAGGGTTTGACCGTGTGGGGACACAGCAGACACTTGGGGTACCATGTCCCATGGGTACAGCAGGAGGGGAACAGGAACAAGCCCCTCGCAGAGTGTGGCGACGGCACAGTGTCCCACCACTGCAGCACACACCCCCGTGCCAGTCTGGGGTGACACCAGCTCCCCTCTGGCTGTTGGGCCCAGCACCCAAAACCCTCCTGGCCAAGGCACTTATGGCCCCTGAGGTGGAGGGGACGGCAAAGAACTTGTCAGCCACCGTGGTAACGAACTCCCAGGTGCCACCTGCCAAGGGCTCTGGGGGACCCACGCACCGTCCCTGCTCTGGTGTCACCTCACACCCCCAACAAGAGCAGAATCCCCGGCGCCAAGGACCCAGGACCCCCATGGCAACAAGAGCACGACAGCCCACACAACACACCAGGCACACTGTCCCTAGTCCCAGTGCCACCCGCGTGCCAGCTGCTCCCCGTTCCTGGCAGCACAGCCATGCTGGGATAAACGGAGGTGGAGAGGCCATGGCCTCCCCCACGGCACTGCCCACACCGAGGGTCTGGGCAGGACACTGGTTTGGAGAGCCCTGCCACGGCTCCGCTCATGCTCAGAGGGACAAGGGGCTCGAGCTGGTCCCCAGGACCAGCACACAACCCCTTGGCTCAGTGGCCACAGCAGCCACTTGCCCAAACCCTGTCCGCTCCGACCTGCCTGAGACCCAGCAAACTCATGGCGTGCCAGCTGCCGCCCTCTCCCCGGCTGCGGGGAGGCCACCTCCGCCAACATCCCCCCAGCCCCGGGACAGGGGGACACCCTGGGGGGCTGCGAGAGGAGGGGGCCAGCCGGGCCGGGGAGCAGGGTGGGCGCCGCGGGTGCTTACTGGGTGATGTCGGCGAGGTCGTCCCTCCCTCGGAAGTTGTCGTGGTGGATTTGGTGTCAGGAGAGACGGCCAAGCGGGGCATGCCGGGGGGAGGTGGCGGCGCCAGCATCTGCGTGGGCAGGTAGTGGCTGGGCACTTTCACTTGACCACTTCCATTTAACTGGGGACAACACAGACAAAAAACAAACAGCACAAGCCATTAGGATGCACGCGCACACCAGCACGGCCGGGGAGCCCCGGGGACACCCCTGACACAGGCACGGGGTGTCCCTCACTGCAGACATGAGTTTGGTAGGTCTCAGAGCAGCCCTGAACGGTCGGCGGTGGCAGCAGGCAGGAAATGACGGCGGGACAGGAGGGATTTGGGGGACTGTGGAGGCCATGCTCCATGGGGGACATTACCCACAGCGGCGCACGCTGGAGCTGGGACCCCTCTCTACAATGACAGGGGGGTCTCTGAAGCACTCCCTGGAGGGGTAGGGGCACCCAGAGCCTCCAAAGGCTCCTGCACCAGTGCTCCATGCCCGTGGGCTGTTCCTGTTCTGGTGTCCATTGGGCCAGCACTGAGCCACTGCACAGGGAACAGTGGCCATGCCCTTCACCCTGGCATCAGCCCCTGCTGGTGAGGGGAAACAGGAAAGTGGTGGGCAGAGGTCAGAGGGGCTCCCCAAGAGCTCTGCAACTGGGAGGACAGAGAGGGGCACAGGACAGTATGCGAGCAGGAACACACCCAGGCTCTGGCTTTGGGTATGAAGGGTGCCCTTCATGGGGTGTGTGAGGTGCTGGTGGTGTGGGGTGTGTTGTGTGTTGGGGGCTCTGAGTGTTTGAGGTGATGGTTTGGATGCGCTCTGGGTGTATGAGGTGATGGTTTGGGTGCTGCACACACTGGGTGCTGTGTGTGCATGGTGCTGGTGACAGAGGTTGGTTGGTGATGGAAGCATGGGGCGTGGGGTGATGGGTGTGTGGGGGGTGTGGGGTACCATGTCTGTGGGGTGCACTGGGTGCGTGGGGGTGCAGGGCACTGTGGCAGGGGAAGGCCCACAGCAGCACAGTGTGGCTCTGCCACCCCTGTGGAGACACTGGGGACACGGGTACAGTTCCAGAGGAGCTGACGGGTCACCCGTGGACTCTGTAGGTGGATGGGGCACATCAAGCCCATCACTCTCCCAGACACACTGGTGGGTGGTGACTCCAGGAGATAGTCACACACCCCTGGCAGACACCTTGCTCTCCCCCAATGCCCTGACACCGGCTGACGGCTCATCCCCAGCACCCCAACACCCGCAGTGCCTCATGCTGGGCCGGGGCACAGCACCTCCATCACTGCAGACACGAGGTGCCAACGCCAGCAGGCACAGCAGCGCTCCCGAACCGACGCACGGCACGGCTGGAGCTCAGCCCCAGAGAACATCGGTGCCCCCAGAAAACCCCGACCCCCGTGCGGCGGCAGAGGTGACAGCGACGGCGCCGGTCCACGGGACTCTCCTCGGGCAGCCCGGCTGGCAGCAGCCCCCGGTGCCCACAGACAAGGCTGCGTCCTTACCGGTCCGGGCTGCTGGTTGGACGGGTCGCAGGCCAGCGAGACGAGATCTTTGAGCGGGTCCTGCGGGTTGAGATGAGGCGGGTACCGGATGGCCGTGTGCGGGAAGTAGGTGGAGGCCGTCTGGGGAAGGATGGAGGTGGTGGGGAAATGCAGCGCAGACGATGGGTGCGGGCTTCGGGCGATACCTGTGGGTGGCAGCAAAAGGGGACATGCACCTGTGTCACTAGCTAGTGGCTGCCCCAGCCTCCCGACCGCGCAGGGCTCACTCTGTGCCTCAGTTTCCCTGGCAGGACACTCACCACTGTGCACAGCGATGACGGGACGGTGGTGCTGCGTGAAGCTGCTCAGGCGGGGTGAGGAGTCCTGGGGTGATGGGCTGTTGAAGGGGGACTTGTCCATCTCTGTCTTCTTCACAGTGGGGGAGATGCCTGGGGAAAGCAGGGTCCAATGTCAGGACCTGCCGTGGGACCCCACATCCCATGGCTGCTGCCGTCTCAGTGCAGTGTTGGGGGAGCTCATTCTGGGGGCAAGGGGCACCCCGAGGTCAGGGTGGGTAAGGGGAGTGTGGTGCTGTGAGCATGTGTCTTTGTGCCGGCAGGAGGGTGGGCACCTGTGTGGGCACCTCTAGGGGCACACCTGTGTGCATGTGTGTAAGTGTTGCACCAGCACAGCTCTGTAGCTGTGTGTGTACACACACAGCCGTGCACACATGTGTGCTCCTGCAGGTGTGTGCACGTGAGTGCACGCAGCTCTGTGCGTGTGTGTCCCACCCTGGTGGCAGATGTGGGGGCCCTCATGGATGCCCTGTGACCCTGCAGCCTCCACACGGCACCCACCTCCCCTGGCACATGGGGCTGGGGGCTACAGGAGCTCCTAGGGAGGCAGAGAGGTGCCAGCATGGGGGTGACCACCCCAGAGACCCCTGGCAGCAATGGCTGCCCAGGTTCCCGAGGCCACCCCAGGGCATGGGGCTGAGCTGAGGGCTGGCAGGCACGTTAATCCCCTGCCGCCGTGGCTTTAGCTCTGGCCATTTGGCCTGGGCCTGGTAATGGGTTTAGTCCTTTCTCAGTCAGGCGTTAGGAGGATTTCCCAGAACATCCTGTACAGGATTGCCAAGCCCCCCTTCCCCGCCACCAAGCCTGAGCCCCCTCACCAACCACCCTCATCCCTGCCCGCGTCAGGCCACTGGCAGGGCACAGATGCCCTGGCACAGCTTCCTCCTTGCCTCCATGCACCATTCTGGGGAGGGGGCTGCACCTTCCCCAGGACCTCCCCTGCACCAGCCCCATGGGGCAGGATGGGGTACAGTCACTGGACCTGCATCCCTCAAACCCCCTTCCAACAGGATTGGTGCTTCCAGCCCTCCAGCCGGGCACCCCCAGGCTCTGGCAGGGCTAGGGGGCTGGTGTGGAGCCCACCCCACTGCTGCAGGAGGCAGGAGAAGAGCCAAGGGAGGAGGAAGAGAAGCAGCTTCTTTGCCTGCACCTCAGGGTGTGGGAGCTGCTGTGCCAGCCCTGCAGCATCGCTTTAATTAGCCCAGCCCCCCCTTTCTTAATGAACAGCTAATTGGGGCTTGTCTAGACAGGAAGGGGAAAAAAACCACCAAGCCAGAAAGCTGTCCACAGTGATGTGGGGCTGGGGGAGCCAACCTGGGGCTCGGAGAGGTTGGTGTGGGGCTGCTAGACCAGGCATGGGGCTGGAGACTCGGCTGGCCCTACAGAGAGAGCCTGTGTTGAAATGGGGGTCCCTGTAGCACCACCACAGCCCCCACAGAGTCCTGCCCAAAGTGGGGGGTACAGAAACACCTATGGAAAGCCTGTGCCTAAATCAGGGGGGTTTGACAGCAACCCCACAGACTCCATGGAAAAGCAACAGGGACGTTCTGCAGGACTTGGGGGTGGCACCGCAGCCCCCATGGCCTGTGTGTCCTGTGACCTTAAGGCCCGTATGGACACTGGGGCATGGGCAGTGCCCAGATGGTCACAGGGGGTTCTGGCAGTGCTTTGCAGAATGCTGGGAGGAGGATGGGGGCCCCAGGGCACTGGAGGGGCACTGGAAAGGAGGTGGCACCTACCCCCTTCCATGTCTTCTGTCCAGTTGCGGCTGCTGCTGGTGGGGGAGTTGGAGGAGGTGTAGTACTCGCCCCCAGGGCTGGTGTCAATGTCGTCCTCCATGGACCCTGACTTGTGCCGTTTGCTCCTGGGGACAAAGAAGGGTCACAGGATCACGGAATGGTTTGGGTTGGAAAGGACCTTAAAGTTCAGCCAGTCCCACCCCTGCCATGGGCAGGGACATCTTCCACTATCCCAGGTCACTCCGAGCCCCATCCAACCTGGCCTTGGACACTGCCAGGGATCCAGGGGCAGCTGCAGCTGCTCTGGGCACCCTGTGCCAGGGCCTGCCCACCCTCACAGGAAAGTGAATGCATCTAGCCCTGCCCTTTGGCAGCAGGAAGCTATTCCCCCTTGTCCTGGCACTCCATCCCTTGTCTAAGCTTCCTCTCCAGATCTCTTGGAGCCCCTTTAAGCACTGGAAGGGACTCTGAGGTCTCCCTGGAGTTTTCTTGTCTCCAGGCTAAACAGCCCCAGCTCTCCCAGCTTGTCATGGGTCAGTGCCAGCCCATGGCAGGACCTGGCTGCCCCTTGCCTTCCCCACGGCCGTGCTCGGGCTGGCCCCGGCACCACCCTGGCACAGCCCCAGTGGCACCTACCCGCTGGAGGAGGTGCTGGGCAGTGTCCTCCTCATGCCGGTGCTGGAGGGGTTCAGGTCATAGGCCAGGTGGCCCTGCAGCTCTCCCAGGGAGAAGTTAGGCCCTGTGCCTGTCACCACCGGTGCTGCAGGGAGAGAGAGGGGGGTCACTGGGGCTCGGTGGGGAGGGGAGCCCCAGCCCACTGTGGGGTGGGGGAGCTGTTGGGACGCTGCTGTGCCCAGGCAGCCGAGAGTTGGGCTGTGGCATCACAGTCACACTCACTTCGGGACACCTGGATGAGCTCGGTGACACTGAACACCCCGGAGGTGACGAAGCTTTCCTGGAAGTCTGTCGAATCTGTGTGGGAGAAAGGAGGGCGTGCTGAGGGGGCAACAGGACCACCCCTCCCATCCTGCACTGCCTTGTGGCAATGCTTGAGGGCACCCCAAATCCCATCTGTCCCCCTCCTTAGCCTCCACTCTGCTCCCTGCTCCAGCAAGAGACCACCGCAATTGGTTCCCTCTGCTGAAGATGCCCTGGACCTGCTCAGTGCCTCAGTTTCTCTGTGGCTGAGAGTACTGTCAGGGCTTGGGGCTGCACCCCCACCGTGGGACCTCCATGGCAGCTGCTGTCCCCAAGGGCTGTGGCCGCTGTGGGACTCTGCTGGCTGTAGGTCAAGGCTAAGGCCATGCCCAGCTCATTGCAGGGGCCAGGCAGTGGCTGGCAGTGGCTGGCAGCTTGACTGTATGTCATAGGCCCCCCTCCCCCGCTATGGCAGGGACCCTGGGGACAGGCTGGGGTGTCCCTTGTCCTTTGCCCAAGCCCTGCCCGCTGCACTCACCCAGCGTGATGGGTTTGCTGTCTTCCTGGTCTGAGCCAATGCCTGTCCGGGGGCTGCTGCTCTGCTCTGCATCTGCAAGAGGCAAAACCCCAGGGTGAGCCCCCCGTGCCAGTGGCAGCCTCCGTGCCAGTGTGAGCCAGGGTTGCCACCAGCTGACTGCCCCCCCATTGCCCCACTGGGGGAAACTGAGGCGTAGGCTGCCCAGCAGCTCTCGCCACACAGCAGGGCCACCACCAAGCTGGCATGTCCCCAGCCACAGAGGAACAGTCACCAACCAGCCGCCCCTGCCCTCCCTGCTAGCAAGAGGAGCCCCACACGCAGGACCTGGGCAGTGCTCCTGGCAGGAGAAGCCCCGTGCTGGGCTGGGTGATGGTCACCTGGCCCTGCTCCAGCCTCCTGCCTCCTCTCCTCTCTCCAGCCACAGCTGTGACCCAGTGCTGCCCCACCAGGCAGTGTCACCACAGTATGGCACAACCTGTGGCACCTTGTCCTGCCTCTGCCCAGCTCCTGCAGGGCAGCAGGGCTTGGGACAGCACCTGTTCTGACCCCTGGAGCCCTGTCCAGCCTTGCTCCCCCTTGGCTAAAAATATCCCGGCTCAGACACTGAGTTCAGTGGCCCTGGCACAGCCCAGACACGGCACTCAGGAGCATCCTTCCTCACCTGGCTGCTCCCAAAGCCCTGCCATAACTTTTGCCATTTATTTCTCCCCCATAGTCCTTCTTCTCCCTGCTTCTCCATCCTCCTCCTTCTCCTCCCACCCCTTGGCCTCCAGCATTTCTCTCTGGCAGCCTTGGCAGACATCAGGAAAGGGCTGAGACAATCCAAAAACACCAACAAAACCACACAGCTGCAACTGCCAGCCCATGTGCCCGCCTTGGGATTTTTCCCTTTCTCCCTGTTTTTCTCCTTTTTCTCCCCTCAAGTCCCTCGCACTCACATGTGGCTCCCAGACTGGTTGTCCTTGGCTGGGCAAGTTATACATGTGGGCCCCATGCCACCTCCCACCCCAACACCCCTGTGTGCTGCCCACCAGGCAGGTTATCCATGGGGGCAGTGGGACTGTGCCACCTCCCAGCCTGACACCCCCAAGTGCCCCAGCCCCCTGGGACTGCTCAAGGCCGATGCCAAATCAGCCATTTTGTCTCCCTGCCCAGCTGCCGTGATCCCCTCCACCCATCCCGTGCCAGCCTGGCACCACGCTGGCAGCGCCATGGCATCCTGCCCTGATGCTGCTCACCACCACCGTGCCCGCACCCCTGCCTCCCTCCAGGCAGCCATTTTAGGGAGCAGAAACTCCCCCTGGAGACGGGCGCAGGGTTTTTTTTTCCTTTCTCTTCTCTCCATTTCTCTTTTTCTAACCCTATTCCCCCATTTTGAAGTGGCTGTGTGCCCAAGTACTGGGTGTGGGTGGTGGGAGTGAGTGGGGCACAAACCAGCTGGGATGGGGGAGTGGCTGGGGACCCCCCCGCTCAGCCATGGGCACCGCGTGGCCGGACACAGCCCCTCCTCGCCTCTAAAAACAACAAATCTGGCTGTGGCTCTGGAAGTGGTTAGCGTGGAGCCCAGCCAAGGCGCGGGATGGAGGCTGGCGGTCACAGCCTGAGCCCGGCCTGGCTCCCCACAGCCCCCCAGGTCTCAGGGCTCCCTGGGACCCCAATTGCCTCCCAGAGGGCCCCGCTTGCCCAGTCCTGGGGTGCTCGGCCTCTGGATAGCTCCCCAGGCCATGCCCCAGCCTGGTGCCTCTGCAGTGCCCACGCAGCCTTTGGCTCAGCCCAGGGACCCCCACCACTCGTCCTGAGGTGCCCCACATGGACCTTTGAGTGCACAAAACCACTGCAGCC